GGCGGTCACACATAAACAGACACGCATGCATGTCTGTCTGTCTGTGACTTCTATTTGTAATATAAGGAACCACTTCTTTTTTGTGTGTTTTTTCGCATAAAAAGATGCGCATGCACTTAGATAAGTAATAATACCCAGGTGCAAACCCTCATTGTCCACTTAGTATGAGTGCAAAATTTCATGTTTCTAGGCTTTTTCCTTTTGGAGCTTTGGGGGTCATAGATATACAGACACGCACGTGCGCACACACACAACTGTGTTTTCTATTTGTCAATTTTTTGTGATTTCTATTTGTAAATTTCAGGTTTCTAGGTTCTTTCATCTTGGAGCTATGGTGGTCACATTACTTTTCTATGTAGTTTTTCGCATAAAAAGATGCGCACGCACGTAGATAAGTAATAACACCCAGATATATACCCTCAGGGTTCACTTAGTATGTGTGCAAAATTTCAGGTTTCTAAGTTCTTTTCTCTTGGAGTTATGGCGGTCACACACACACAGAGACACGCCCTCTTATTATTATAGATACCGCTCGTTTTTATGTTAAGATCTTATAAATTATCGCCCTCTAGAGAATTAATATTTAGAGCTAGATATAACTGACTTCAAATTGTTTGTGAACGATTTATTTTCTATTAAGTAATAAAACTTTTATAAAATACAAGACTTCACTAATTTCAAAATTACTGTAGCCATTAAATAAAAGTTTATCTTTTAATAATTATACATCATACGTGAAGAAAGTGCTTCTATTACAGATTATTATTATTATATGTCTTGTAATTTTTAAGATTATTATACCTTTTAAGAGCGTATGTGGTGCCACACTTTAAATTACCTTCTTTTATCAATTATGTCCAACAGCACTTTGTTTTCGAAAAGTCTGCTTTATAGATTAAATTGTTACTACTGTTACGTCCCTGGTCGTTTGTTAATTTCCCGTAAAAATTCCTTCCGAAAAACTTCAGCGACACAAGTCCTTTCTTAAGTAAAATTAGTTTATTCTTTCTCTATACAACTTTGCAATACACTTAATTTCCACAATCAATTTAACTTAAACACACGCTATAATTCACAACGAACGATTCACGCACTTACTTACTACCGCACTTGACTCAATTGTCCGTCTCTGTCTGTCTGCAATTCTATGTCGATTCATTGTCTGGCGTACTTATATACAAGAATACCCCACATCTAGCAAACACTCGAGCATTCACGAACCTTCGAGAATATCATGACGTGTTACTAGAGTCACGTGACTTCCGCTGTCGTAACACTACGTTATAGTTTAAGTTCAGGATAAATTTCAGAAGGATTGAGTTCTGGAATATTAATTGATATAAAATCATCATTACGATGGAACGTAAACATTCTCTTGTCATGACTTGTTACTTTGTTCATAATTATGTCTGACAGACGGAATATCCCCAATGTTTTTAAGTGCTATGGTCGCGGACATTTCCACTTTAAAATGATGAAATTTAATACAAAAGTATAAATGGTATGATCTCAGGTTGTTTTGTTGGCGAGATCGTGTATTTGTTGGCACCTACATGTATAATATATTATTTTTTACATAATTATCTTTTCAGGTCTATACAGAGATGAGTAATCGCCTTTGATGTAATACAGATAATTGTGAAATATATATATATTATAGTCTGTGTAAGTAATATATTTTTAAGTCATGCACAAATAAATCATATTCCCATCACTTTAGAATAGTGTTTCTCATCCGGATTTGCCAGACGACCCCAGCGTCTAAAATTTGGTCGTCGTGATCCCCCATTATCTCTACAAGGATGAAAAAACACGCCTATTTTATTTATTTAAATAAAATGTTGACTCAGCGCAGACAGCTCGCCACCTCTTGGAAACCCGCTCGCGACTACCAAGGGAGTCGCGACCCACTGTTTGAGAAACACTGCTCTAGAAACAATATCAGGAAGAACAAAATACTAATGCAAATCAACAAGCTCCCATCAAGGATAAAAAACAAAAACAAAAAAAAGTATGTAACGTATTAAGAGCCACAAGAGATACTAATGTTCATGCTCAAAAAATGTAAATAATGCATCAAACCTGTATATATAAGTTTGGAATTTAATATCATTTATCATTTAAAATAAATTAAGAGTATTTATTTATGACAATAGCCCTAAATCCACAAATTACTTTAATGTGATAATATTAAGGTCTAATCTGATGGATGGTAAAGATGAAGATTCTACTCGCGACACTGAGAACGAGACTACTCTCAAGAAATTTCAACAGTGTAGCCGAACAGGCCGAAGGAACGCTCTGCCAGACATCCGAAACCAGCAGAGTGAAGGGAGCACAGCTTCACTTTCAAACGAGTTCAGCAAGTTATCTTGTTCCGGTAAGTTGATGTACGACTTTTTTTTTTAATCAGTGTTCCTAATGAAACTGACTGTACAGACTTTGTTTTGCTTTAGTACATTTATGGTCAATAACGAATCCGGGGAGAAAAGGTTTGGCCCTCCTTTCCAATGGACAGAACAAATGCATGCCCGTAAACAGAATGTTTTAAAAGGGTTGGGGGGGTCAGTTAGTGAGATTAAAAGGCAATACACAATGTGCTAAGCACAATCAGCATGCTAATGCTACGGGGGTCTGAAGGCATGCCCCCCCCAGACAATTTGTAAAAAAATAGGTGCTTTGACATTAAATCTGAAAGCAATTTTGCGCGAAATATAACTTAAACAATTGTATGGCTGTTCACATAAAATCCACAAACATACAATGAAAAGTCAATGAATCATTAGTTTGTTGTAACACTAAATGTGGCGCTAGAGTTAAATTAGCATAAATATTGTTACGTCTCTGTTCGTTTGTTAATTTTCCGTAGAAATTCTTTCCGAAGAACTTCAGCCATACAAGTCCTTTCTTAAATAAAACTAGTTTATTCTTTCTCAATACAACTTTGCAATACACTTAATTTCCACAGTCACTTTAACTAAAAAATA